TTCAAAACGAACCAATGTAGAGTCCCAACAAACTTCTGAGCTCCAATACTCATAACCCAGCTTGTGAACTCTTGTCACACGGCTACATAATTTTCCTGAAATGTGAATTTATAATCAAAAACCAAAAATATTTCATAAACCTGGATATGAATAGAAGTCCAGCAAGGTTAAGAGGAATATGTAAAACTTTACTATAAATATCATCTGAAATAGTTCAACAGCTCATTAGATTTGGGATTTAATAAAATTTTATTCTTCAGTGATGAAGTCATGGTTGGAGCTTTCTTTTCATTGGAATTTTTTATTGCTATCGGGGTACTTGGATTTCTCAAAATCTTACTAACTGTGGTATGGCAGTATGGTTGGTCTTTATTTTTGTCCTTTTATAAAGGTCTTTAAAATATGGTTTTCCTTTGTTTTAACATTAAATGGCCCAATATTCTGCAGCCAAAATGTATGATTAAAATAATCTATCAGTATTTAGAAATTATTTTCCAAGGTCCTCACATGTGCAACCGGTGGGCTAGGTGTTCCAGAAGATCAACTTTACAAAAAAGAATTTTTATGTCATTTAGCTTCTTGAGGTGTTACCAAATCTATTCATTTCATTCACATATGACTCTGTGTACAATTCTTTGAATTACCAAGGGTATAAAAGGGTAATACATAATTGGAAAGACAATAAACACAAGATTTTGAAATATCAGCATAAAATGTAAAGACATCCTGAGTTCTTGTCCCCACTTTGTAACTAAGAATCCATGGATTCTTGAGCAAGACCCTTTGCCTGCCGGAGCACCAGTTTAGAAAGCCTGGAAAATGAAAGAACTGACTTCCATTGCTTACAACATCTCTCCCAGGCATTGGACAGATTATTTCCTAAACAGGCAATGCACTGACAGACTCTTCAGATGCACAACAGGGAAAAAGTATTCAATGGTCAAATACGTTGCATATATTTTCACCATCTTGAAGGTTTACAAAGCACATTAGAACATTAAAGAACACTCTATAACTATTACTCCCAAACTGATTTAGAGAATCTTCCACTCATTTATTACCAACTGACATCCTGTAACACTAGTATTCCTCAAAATATACTTTGGAAAATGTTGAAAGGGAATTCCAACTAATGTTTCTATAACATCTATATAGTTGTTTCATGTATTGTTAAGTAGAAAATAAATATTCACTACAGGAACGGATTTAAAGGAGCATGATCCTGGCATTCATCATGCCCATTCTTATTCTAATCTCCAGACAGAGTTCTAGAATGAAGCAAGGATAAAATTTAAAAAAAAAAAAAAAAAACCACCTAATAAGAACTACCCTTTTAATGGATAAAATCTTTGATTTTAAAATCAAAGTGGTAAACCAGTGGCTGGAGATAAAGGGGGATGGGGAGTGATTACTCAAGATTATTAGGGATTCTTCTAAGGCAATGAAAAAGCTTCTAAACTAGAGACAGGAATGGTGGTTGTAAAACATTATGGATGCACTAAAGGCCATTCAATTGTACATTTTTTTAAAGATTTTATTTATTTACTTGACAGACAGCGATCACAAGTAGACAGAGAGGCAGGCAGAGAGAGGAGGAAGCAGGCTCCCTGCTGAGCAGAGAGCCCAATGTGGGGCTCAATACCAGAACCCTGGGATCCTGACCTAAGCCAAAGGCAGAGGCTTTAACCCATTGAGCCACCCAGGCGCCCCTCAATTGTACATTTTAAAATGGTTTAATATATGTTATGTGAATTTCACCTCAACTCAAAAACTAAGTCAAAGGGATGCTGTCTCCACTAGCACGACTTCACCAGAATTAGAAAAAGTCACCCCCTTTAGGTAGACATAGTCTGAAGAATACACAGCTTACTAAGCTTGTGCATCTTTTTGTGAAGAAGATTCTCCAACCTCTGAGTGGACAGAGCCCCCCCAACAGGGGAAACCTACATATTCATACACAATGTGTCTAAAACTTGTTCAATATTGTGCCCCTCATAAACCACTCTCTTATCTTCCAACAGATTAGGAAGACTTAGGTTTGATGTACCTTTGATTTAGAAGGCTTCAGGTTAGACCCAAAAGAGCCAGGTTGACATTCAGAGAAAAAATCTTATTACTTGATTTAGAATAAAAAGTTGGGCATGTTCAACTCTTTGGTATATCAACCACGTCTTATCACTCAGGAACCTAAGTAAGGCAGAGGCAGCTGAATTAAAGAACTAGTAAAATGGACTTTAAGGAATTGAGAGACACCCCAAAATTTACAGTAAAAAACCCAGAACCTTGATCTCTTAAAGAAAAATAACTCAAATATTAGTACCTATAAACAGAAGGTAAATATTCAATAATAAGAGACAAACACACCCTTTCTCCAAATGGTACTATTGGGTCTGGGCCCCATTGCTTAAATGAAGTAATGAAAACCAAAGAGAATATGCATAGTAATAAAATACTTTTTTAAATGTAAAGTTCCTGGAATTCTTTTCTCAAAGAAGACCACAGATGGAGATTTCCAGCCTTTAAACAAGTCTGAAAAATCTACACAGCGAAACATCACAAAGGACCATAACTTCTTACTCCATTTGTATAAGAACCAATCAAGAAGAAATAGATTTAAGTGGTAGAAGGAAATAATTTTTATTTTCTTGACTTACTTAGGGAAGATAAGAGAATATTCAGATTAGTCTATGGCAGAAGAACAGAATTCTCAAATTTAAGTGTCATACCTTATGTGATGGATTAATCTTATGTAACAACTTGACTGGCTTAAGGAATCCCCAGATAGCTGGTAGAACATTTTTCCTGTGTGTCTGTGAACGTGTTTACAGAAGGAATTAGTATATGAATCTGTAGAATGAGTAAAGAATCTGGGCCTTCAGCAATGTGGGTGGGTATCATCCAATCCTTTGAGACCCCCAAATAGAACAAAAAGGCAGAGAATGGGTCAACTGTTCTGTGGCCTAAGCTGGACATCCATCTTCTCCTGCCCTCAGACTTCAGTGCTCTTGGTGGACTTCTCAGGTTCCCTATTTGTGTGAACCAATCCTTCACAATAAATCTCTTCCAGCATATTTTTATATTTATCCTACTGGTTCTATTTCTCTGGAGAACTCCAGCTAAAACACCTAATAATTCTCTGAGGGCAACAAAAGACCAGAAACATGAAAACTGAGTTAAGTTTTGCACCAAGGGAGATGCTATAAACAGTGCCATACCAGAAAAGCCAGAAATGGAAACCTAAAAGACAACACCACTATGTCCAGTGCCCTTACCAGGAGGTATTTCAACTCATCAAACATCTGAATTTTTGCAAGGGGAGATAAATGTTTTTATTATTAATCATTTGTCAAAATAAAAGATTCTACTGAATTTAAATATGAATGAAGTAGCTCTGGGAGGTTGTAATGGTGATAAATCTACATGTTCCAAACATCCAAGGTTAAAAAAAAAAAAAAATCAGCTTATCAAAGAATCTGTGTGGTAGATTTGCTTAAGGAGAGGAGGCAAAAAATTCACATACCTTTTAACTCACATTTGATGTGGGATTTGAAAACGTCTTAATTCTGATTTGAGAAGAGTTATGATCTTAACTCAAAGCTGTCATTTCTAGAGAAGCAGAACTAAAACTTGGTATTCTGATTCAAACTCTGTATGGTTTTAACTTCCATTTCCCTACAATATAATCCATACTCAATGAAAGCCAGGTCACCTTTCATTGTACCTACACAAAAGCTTCATCTTCACCCTCATCAGTTGTCTCATTCAAATTATATTAACTTTCAACGAGTTGGAATAGTTCCTAATATGTACAGTAAACTGCAAGCCGCCCATCTAACACACCATAGTGTGTCATGTGCTCCAGTGTTAATACACTGTCATTTTTATGCAGTTAAGGATATTTAAATCTAGAAGACATCTTAATACCAAAGTTTAGATGAAGTCTCAAGTCAAATAGATTAACCTTTTTAAAAGCACTTGAGATTTTTCTCGAAACGTGATTATTATGGAGTTAAAAAAAAAAAAACACCAAAAATTTCCAGATAAGTCCTAATAAATAGTGTTATTACTCATCCAAAGCTCTGCCTTTCTTCCCTGGAATCTAAAAAGTTTGAAAGTGAACAAATTTTTACTTCTTTTACCCTTTGATTTTCTCTACAACAATTGCTTACATGGAAAACAGAGTACTGACTGCAGTGGTTGAATAGAGTTCAGTCTGGAGTCAGATGATGTAGATTCAAATTTCAAATTCACCACTTGCTGCTGTGAACCTGTGCAAGAGATGTAAATCTGCTTGAGGTTCAGTTTCCTAACTTGGATGATGGAAGTAGCTATAGGCATGGCTCATATGACTGCAGTAAAAATTAAATGAACTGATACATGCAAAGCAGTCAGAACCATTTGAGCTCCAAAGCGCTCCAGAAATTGTGATTAGTAACAATTCATTTCAATTCATTAGTAACAATTCAACATTTCTCAGTCCCCCAAAAAAGCATCCCTTTCTGGCCAGCTGGATCACTTTGCTTCATAAATTGAAGATGAAAAAGATAAAGAGGCAGTAGTTGACATTGGAACCACATTGCTGGGAATTAAACTGTCATGTGAGACCCAAGAGCGCGATTATCAGAGTCAACACTGAGTAATACGACACTCCTTAAAGGTGAGGCATCAATTATTCTTAGGGTAATCACCAAATTTTAACAAATATGGGGCATTATGTGTTATGTACCCAGGGAACGCCAATGACTACTTGACTGTGGTAAAGAATCTTAATTGAAGACCAAATAAAATGAACTTATAAAAGCTTTCAGAAGTTGAACAAATAACTCAGGAATAGGGCAATTATTATTCAGAGACAGATTATTTATACACAAACAAGGAAGAGATTTTGAGAATTATGTAAATCATAGCTAGTCAAGGCTTATAAAAGGCCTGATGTGGAAGTCACCACCAAAACTCAAAAACTTCTCTTAGCAACCCAACTCTCAACCCAAGTCCTGACCATGGCCTGCTGCTCCACTAGCTTCTGTGGATTTCCCACCTGCGCCACCAGTGGGAACTCTGGCTCCAGCTGCTGCCAGCCCAGCTGTTGCCAGACCAGCTCCTGTCAGCCAACCTGCTGCCAGACCAGCTGCTGCCAGCCCAGCTGTTGCCAGACCAGCTCCTGTCAGCCAACCTGCTGCCAGACCAGCTGCTGCCAGCCCAGCTGCTGTGGAACCAGCTGTGGCACTGGTGGTGGCCAGGAGGGTGGCTGCGGAGCTGTGAGCTGCCGAGTCAGGTGGTGCCGCCCTGACTGCCGCGTGGAGGACACCTGCCTGCCCCCCTGCTGCGTGGTGAGCTGCACGCCCCCAACCTGCTGCCAGCTGCACCATGCCCAGGCCCCCTGCTGCCGCCCATCCTACTGTGGACAGTCCTGCTGCCGCCCAGCCTGCTGCTGTTACTGCTGCCAGCCCAGCTGCTGCCAGCCCACCTGCTAAAAGCAAGCCTACTAATTTCTGATTTGAAGTTTCAACCTCCAAATCAATTCATGAACTAATTATCTCTTCTACTACCCATGGATGACTAACAAATTCTTGAATTTTTATTTGGTTTTTGTTGTGGGGGATACCAAATATTTGGGCCTCACAAACCTATCTAATTCCATTCAATTCCAGAAAGACCTTGATCACCCCAATGATGTTGCCAAAATATGAATTTAACTCAAGAAATTGCTTCAACACACATTTGAATCTACTCTGTGACTCAGTGTCACCGATGCCACAGAAGAATCATCTGTCCTATATTTACCTCCTATACTCCACCTTTCTGCAAACTGCACTTTTTATGAAAGGGGAATAATATACCAACACCTATTAAATTATATCTATTTGGTGCAGCAAATATATCTCTTTCTCTTCATTGAGTGTGTTCGTGATACCTATTTCATAAAAAGTCACAAAAGATTTTAGTCTGCCTTTGCTATACCACAATAGTTTCTAGGAAATTTTACCAGATCTAATGGAGGTTAATCCCCAGAGAAAGATAGAGCAAAGGCAGTTATAAAGGGCCTCAGAAGTGGCACAGGCTCTATTTCCATCCTGACCTCATAAAGTACTTTTATAACCAGAAAGTTATAGAAGCCAGGAACTCTGAATCCAGAGCCAGAATATGATGTATTTTTTTAAGTCTGTTAAAGGAATGCTCTTTCAGGCAATCTTCAAACCATGGGAATATAAGGCTAATATATTACACTCTTCCATTTATACATAGCTTTGCAGAGTAAAGCAAGAAAGCGACAAGTTGCAGAAGGCTCTCTGAGGAAATATGCTTTTGGTTAGATGGAGGATTTTACTTTTCCCATTTCTAAACTGAAAGTGAAGATAACAATGTAACTAATTTGGTTTAAAATTTTCACTTAGAAATACATGTATTTATTATATATACACATGTATGCATACATAATACACAATGAATGAAAAAAATACATACAATGAACTTATACATATTTATTTATTTGACAGAGAGGGAGAGCACAAGAAAGGGGAGCAGCAAGCAGAGAGAGAAGGAGAAGCAGGCTCCCAGCCTGATGTAGGCCTCGATCCCAGGACCCCGGGATCATGACCTAAGCTCAGAACAGACACTAACCCGGCACACCAGAATGCACACAGATTTAAACACAGCATTAGGAAATACTTCATGAATCTGGGTAGTTTTCAGACAAGGATCAAGATTAATTTGTGTTTTCTTGGACTCAGAACTGGAGGGAGCCAGGGGCTCCTGGTTGGCTCAGTCAGTTGAGCAACCGATTCTTGGTTTCAGCTCAGGTTGTGATCTCGGGGTCATGGGACTAAACTCTGGGCTTAGCTCAGAGTCTACATAGTCCTCTTTCTCCCTCTCCTTTGGCCCCTCCGCCCTGCTTCTTCTCTCCCTCTCTCTCTTCCCCTCTTCCCTTCCACCTCTCCCTCTAAAATAAATAAATCTTTAAAAAAAAAAAAAAAAAGAACTGGAGGGAGCTGAAGATAATTCTTTTTCATTAAAAATATTGCTTTGGTTAATGAGGCGCCTGGGTGGCTCAGTCCTTAAGTGGCTGCCTTCACCTCAGGTCATGATCCCAGGGTATGGGGATTGAGCCCCGTATCAGGCTCCCTGCTAGACAGGAAGCCTGCTTCTCCCTCTCCCACTCCCCCTGCTTGTGTTCCCTCTCTCGTTGTGTCTCACTCTGTCAAATGAATAAATAAAATCTTAAAAAAATATATTACTTTGGTGAAGATTACAATACTTTATTCATTAAAGAGTTAATGGAAGTCAAGAAATTAGAAAGCATGAGTAAAAGATAACATGTAAGCAAAGAATCAGTTTCCCCAACATTTCTTCTAGAGACCTGATCCAACCCAGAAGACACCCTTGAACAGAACAAAAATGGAAACATATTTTGTCCTCTTGTTTCTTTAACTACTGACCACGTTCAGGTATCACTACCTAAGAGCTCCTGCTGAGAAAAAAGTATAAAATATGACAGGTGACTTGGGTAAAATGCAAATTTGGCTACTTATCATTACAATACACTGCCAATCATTCATTCCTTCCTTGATTCAACAAGCCTTTACTGAGTGCCTATATTCAAGATTGTGCAGAAGGCACTATGTAGAATACCGAAATGAATCAGACATAGCAGATCATGCCCTTAAGGAATGAATGATCTGGAAGAGCAATTATACAATTTTAGCCCTGGAGTGTCTGAGAGATCATCTCATTTTACAGATGAATAAAACAATGTTCAGGGGGATTAAGTATTCTGAGGTCACAGAATACACTTTCTGGCAGAACCTGTTTGAGAAGCCTGTTTAGTTCTATTAGCTTAATTTAGTTCTCATAATCACCTAAAGCTGGACTCCTTTAAAGTCCCTTTTAGCTTAAAATTCTATGATCTCTTTAATTCAAAAGCACAAACAAAAATATTTGTGGATTTGTCAATAGGGGGATGAATGAATAGACTGTGGTATGATCAAACTCTGGAATAGTGCATAGCTATTTAAAAGAATAACTAATACATATGGGATAGGCTAAAAAATTAGATAAACTAGATAAAATGGATAAATTCCTAGAATCACATAATGTATCAAAACTGAATCATAAAGAAATAGAAAATCTAAACAGATTTAGTGAGGAGATTAAATCAGTAATAAAAAAACCTCCCAACAAATAAAATCCCAGTACCAGAAGCTTCACTGGTAAATTTCACCAAACATTTAAAGAAAAGTTAAAAATCAATCATCCTCTAACTCTTCTAATGAATTAAAGAGGGAACACTTCCAAACTCACTCTATGAAGCTAGCATTACCCTGATACCAAAGCCAAAGACACTACAGAAGATAAAACTAGAGACCAATATCCCTGATGAATATTGATACAATAGTCCTCAATAAAATACCACCAAACAGAATTCAACAGTACATTGAAAAGATTACATACCACGACCTAGTGGGATTTTATCCTAGAATGCAAGGATGATTCAACAGACAAAAAAAAAAAAAAAAAATCAATGAATATAATACATCACATAACAGAACAAAGGGGGGAAAACACATGATTATCTCAATAGATGGAAAAAGAGTGATGAAGTTCAACATGCTTTCATAATTAAAAAAAAAAACAGAAAACAAAAACACTCAACAAACTAGGAATAGAAGCAAAGTTCATCAGCCTGGTAAAAGCCATATATGAAAGCCCACACTAATATCATACACAGTGGTAAAAGACTGAAAGCTTTTCCTCTAAGATTAAGAAAAAGAGAAGGGTGCCCACTTTTATCTATTCTATTTCTCATTGTACTGGAAGTCCCAGCTAAAGCAATTAGACAAGAAAAAGAAGTAAACAGCATCCAAATAAGAAAAAAGTAAAACCGTCTCTACTTGCAGATGACATGATATGATATATAGAAAACCCCAAAGACTCCACCAGAAAGAAAGAAAGAAAGAAAGAAAGAAGAAAATGTTTAGAACTAATCAACAAATTCAGTAGAGTTGCAAAATATTAAAAAAATCAGCTGCATTTCTATATACTAACAACAATCTATAAGAGAAAAATTAAGGGGGGCCTGGGTGGCTTAGTTAAGTGTCAAATTCTTGATTTTGGCTCAGGTCATGATCTCAGGGTCGTGAGACTGAGCCTTAAATCAGGCCCCACAATGGGCATGAAGCTTGCCTAAGGTTCTCTCTCGCTCCCTCTCCCTCTCTCTGCTGCTCTCCCTTTCATTCTCTTTCTCTAAAAATAATAAAAATAGTAATAATAATAATAATAAAGATAAATCAAAAAAAGAAAGAAAATTTAAGAAAACAATTCCATTTATAATAGCATCAAAAAAGAATAAAATACTTAGGAGTAAATGTAACCAAGGAGATGAAAGATCTGTATACTGAAAACTAAAAGACATTGTTGAAAGAAATAAAGAAGGTACAAAAAAATGAAAAGGTATTCCATGCTCATGAATTAGGAGAATCAGTACTGTTAAAATGTCATACTACTCAAAGCAATTTACAGATTCACTACAATCCCTACAAAAATTCCAATGGTATTTTTCACAGAAATAGAAAAAATAATCTGAAAATCTCTATGGAACTACAAAAGACTCTCAATAGCCAAATCAATCTTGAGAAAGAGGCACAAAGCTGGAGGCATTATACTTCCTGATTTCAACTAGATTACAAAGCTACAGTAATCAAAACAGCATGGTACTGGCATAAAGGCAGTCATATAGACAAATGGAATAAAAGAAAGAAACCTTTACATATACATTCAAATAATTTTCAACAGGAGTGTCAAGATCATTCACAAGATCCTTGTGAGAAAGGACAGTCTTTTCAACAAATGGTGCTAGGAAAGTGGATATCCACATGCAAAACAATGAAGGTGGGCTCTTACATCACACCATACACGAAAATTAACTGAAGACAGGTTTTAAAACCTAAAGTTAGGAGATAAAACTGTAAAACTCTTAGAAGAAAACACAGGGAGACATGTGTTTTCCATGACACTGGATTTGGCAGTGATTTCTTGGATATGATACCAAAAACATATAGAACAAAAATTAAAAACACAGATATTGAACTATATCAAAATTAAAAACTTCTGTGCATCGCAGGACCAATGAACAAAATGAAAATTCAATCTAGAGAATGGGACAAAGATTTGCAAATCATATATCTGACAAGAAGCTAATATCTAGAATATATGAAGAAGTCCTACAACTCAACATCAATTAAAAATTGGGCAAAGGACATGAATGGACATTTCTCCAAAAAAGATAAACAGCCAACAAGCACTTGAAAAAAGGTTTCATATCAACGGTCATTATAAAAATGCAAATCAAAACAACAATGACATATAATCATACCCACTAGAATCCCTACATTCAAAAAACCCAAAGAGTGTTGGCAAGGATGTGAAGAAATTCCACTGTTGGTGGAAATGTGCAGCCACTATGGGAAACAGTATGGCAGTTACCCAAAAAACTGAAAACAGAATTACCATGTGATCTAGCAATTCCACTTCTAGGAATATAGCCAAAAGAATTGAGAGTATGATCTTGAAGAGATTTTTGTACACCAACATTCATGGTTATATTAATCATAATACCCAAAAGGTTGGAAACGGGCCCAGTGTCCATCAGTGGATTAATGGATAAACAAATCATGCAGTATACATACAATGGAATATTATTCAGCCTAAAAAAGTAAGGAAATTCTGATACATTCTAAACATGGATGAATCTTGAGGACAGTATGCTAAGTGAAATAAGCCATTCATTAAAAAGATGTATGTATGATTCCACTTACAGGAGACACCTAGTTTGGTCAAATTCATCAATACAAAGAGTGAAAAAGTGGTTACCAAAGGCCCAGGGAGGACAGAATGGAAAGGTTGTTCTTTAATGGACAAAGAGTTTCAGTTTGGGAGGTAAAAAAGAGTTCTAGAGATTGCACACCAATGTGAATGTACTTCACACTAGTGAACAGTACACTTAAATGGTTAAGATGGTAAATTTTATATTATATTATTATAATTAAAACTTTTTAAAAATACATATAGACCCCAACTTTTACTTAACTAGATGAACAATCTTTCTATCTATCTATCAATGCTGGTTTATGTCTGCAAAAGCAGGGGAAAAGGTGTCAAAGAATATGTACCAACTGTTAATATTTATTATTTCTGAAGTACTAGTTTTGGAAGGGATGGGTGTTTTGGGGAAGAGAGGAAAAATATTTGATTTCTTCATATGCCTGTGTACTTGTTTGACTTGTTTAAAACATGTATTCATTACTAGCATACATTTTTAATTAGTAGAGTGAGAAAACAATCTACCAGCAAAAGTCATTAAGGATTTCAACTGGAAATGGATAAAGGTAAAATCCATTGGATGGATAAAGGTAAAAATACTGGTTAGAGCTCTTAGTATCCTCTAACTTGCACAGACAGATCCTAGAAAGCCATGTGCTTTTGGATGCTGATTCATTTAGATAGCTCATGTCTTGATGACACTAATGTTAATCATTCCAAATCTGAACAAATTCTATTTATGAAATCCTGGTCCCAAGTGACCACTTAGAAAGAAAATGCTCAGTTTAGACAAACTCAGCCTAAAGGTTAACATAGGACAAGTATGACAAAGCAAGCCAGGGTTGGCCCAACTCTAGTCTCTCATATGATTCGCATAAAGAGGTGTTGCTCTGATTGGCTTCCATAATGATCCAGAGGGCAAAGAAGAAATACAATGAGACTTAATTGAATAATGACCAAAGCAACCAAAGGTTATTGAAATGCTATTAATAACTTTCTAAACAACTCAGGGATCAGCCAATCAGAGACTGACTTTGCAAATGGTATTAAGGAACAATGTTGAATGTCAAGGAAATATGCAGCTCTAGGAAATATATAAAAGGCCAGCTGTAGAAGGTGCAGCCAAAGCTCAAAAACCTCTTAGCAACCCAACTCTCATCCCAAGTCCTGACCATGGCCTGCTGCTCCACTAGCTTCTGTGGATTTCCCACCTGCGCCACCAGTGGGAACTCTGGCTCCAGCTGCTGCCAGCCCAGCTGTTGCCAGACCAGCTCCTGTCAGCCAACCTGCTGCCAGACCAGCTGCTGCCAGCCCAGCTGTTGCCAGACCAGCTCCTGTCAGCCAACCTGCTGCCAGACCAGCTGCTGCCAGCCCAGCTGCTGTGGGACCAGCTGTGGCACTGGTGGTGGCCAGGAGGGTGGCTGCGGAGCTGTGAGCTGCCGAGTCAGGTGGTGCCGCCCTGACTGCCGCGTGGAGGACACCTGCCTGCCCCCCTGCTGCGTGGTGAGCTGCACGCCCCCAACCTGCTGCCAGCTGCACCATGCCCAGGCCCCCTGCTGCCGCCCATCCTACTGTGGACAGTCCTGCTGCCGCCCAGCCTGCTGCTGTTACTGCTGCCAGCCCAGCTGCTGCCAGCCCACCTGCTGTGAGCCCACCTGCTAAAAGAAAGGCTGCTGATTTCCAGTTGCCCAGAATACAGTATCTCTGAATAGCGTATCTCCTCAACCACCCTGGACCACCACAAGTTCTTAGACTTCCATTTGCGTTTTTGTTATGGGGGCTACCAAGTATACGAGTTTTAGCTGATTTCATTCTGTAGTAGATACCCTGACCATCCACTGCAAACACAGAAATGCTATGAACCTACCAGCTGACTATCAAAATGCTTTAGATATCTATTTCTGATTTTTTTGCAGGGTTGAAAATTACTGATATACTGTAGAATTAACCCTTGAGAACTACCCACAATGCTAATTCTTCCCTGCTTTATAATCCATTCTTAGCTCTGTTTACCTAGCATTTTTCTAACATCAAAAGCACCAGAATATAGCCAAGTGACTTTTCTCAGTTGTCACCAGAAAGAATGGAAGCTCTTCACCCAACATTTATCCTCTAAGAAGTAGGCTAGACTTTTTCATAGTTCAACATCTGGTTCCATCCCTTTTTTTGCAAGGGGGAGTGGATCATAATGATCTTGCCTGTTGGCTATTTCAATTACATCTGTGATACAGTGTTTTCAGTCATTTCTTAATAAATATTATAACTGGGCAAACAAACCATAGTCTGTGCGTCTATTTATACATAAAATGGGTTAACTGTGATAATTCTTGACTGCCTACTTGAAAGAAATATTTATTTCTTTTTAAAGGAAACTGAAATCATATATAGTGTATTCATTCATTCATTCTATAAACATTTATTGATCACCACTTCTAAAGCAGGGACTATGGAGATCAGAAAGATGAAAACTTATTTCTTATCCTTGAGGAATTTGCTATCCAGTAAGAAAAAGTATGTGTGAAAATAGCTACATGGGGCACCTGGGTGGCTCAGTGGGTTAAAGCCTCTGCCTTCGGCTCAGGTCATGATCCCAGGGTCCTGGGATCAAGCCCCACATTGGGCTCTCTGCTCAGCAGGGAGCCTGCTTCCCCCCTCTCTCTCTGCCTGCCTCTCTGCCTACTTGTGATCTCTGTCAGTCAAATAAATAAATAAAATCTTTTAAAAAGAAGAAGAAAATAGTTACAATTTAACAAGATAAGCTGTATTTTCTTGAGAGTTGGTAGAAAAAAATCTCCATCTTAGGATGAGGCTTTTGTGGCAATATGCCTCAACGGTCCAACTTACAATAGGTGCATCACATGTGACGTGCATGTTGGCAAACCCAAAACCCTAAAAGAAGGATGTAAAATAATTACACATGAGACAGAGAGAAGGATTTTTTTTTAATACTCCAGAAAGGGAGTGAGAAGAAGAAAGAAGAGAGGAGAGACCCAGTCAGGAGGTCATGAATATTATTCTATGACTCCTCCCCTTAAGTTACCAAACTCACACAATCTTTAGGGTAGGTCAACTTTCCTGTGAATACCAGTGGAAGATCTGAATTTCATGTCTGGGTCGATTCAAAGGGAGTTGGAGACAACGCAGGACCCAGACAGAGCAGGGGAAACTACAATAAAGTAATACCACTGCTGTGGAAAGTAGTACTTTGGTTATGGAGACTACAAAGAAGAAGATGGAAGGGCCAGAAACAGGATTTCAAAAGGAAAAGATCACTTTGGGACCAGCAGGTGTTACGTCAGGAGTGGCATCTGGAAAGGCTTCCCAAAGGAGGTAATCTTTGGGGCCCATGAAGATCATTCTAAAGGGGAGGAAAAGAGTAAAAAAAAAAAAAAAAAAGTTCAAGCTGCACACCATTAGAGTGGCTAAAAATCTAGTGACAACACCAAATGCTGGTGAAATCCTGCTGGAGCAACAAGACTTCTCTCTCACTGCTGGTGGGAATATACAACGGTACAGCCACTTTGGAAGACCGTTGGACTATTTCTTACCAAGTTAAACATAGGCTTATCATACAATCCAGCAATTGTGTTCTTATGTATTTATCCAAATAAGCTGAAGATTTATCCAATAAGCTGAAATCTTAGAATATAAGAGCAATTATCTACCACTATTTAAACTAATTTAGGTAATGGCTCCAATTGGAGCTTATGTTCCAGATGGAGTGTATTTCATGGAACAAATCAACATAGCCCCAGGCAATTAGAAGTATGCAGCTTTTGACATGAAAATGCCTTTTTCTCCAAATCAGTTTGCAAGGACAATCAGAAGTAGTTTGCTTTTAACTGGCCTGGCATGACTAACAGTAACTTTACAAACACTGCCTCAAGGCTGTGTCAACTCTCCTGCTTTCTGTCATAATATACTCAGCAGAGATCTTAATCAACTTGATATTCCGCACAGCATATCAGTCCACTACAGTGACACTACAGATGACATCATGCTAATTGTTTCTGAGGAGCAGGAAGTAGCAAGTACTTTAGATGTCTTAGTAAACACATGTGAACTCCGGATTGAAGATAAACCCCACAAAAATTAAGGAGGTTCCCACCTCAGTGAAACTTCTTGGAGTCAAACTGTCCAGAACATGTTGAGATCTCCTTTTTAGGATGAAAGAAAAACTGCTGTCCCTTGAACTGTCTTCGGCTGGGAAAAAGCACAACTCTTGGTGGGCTTTTTTGGATTCTGAATTCAATATATACTCTATTTGAGTGTGCTAGTGTAACCCATTTATTGACAACCTGAAAAAGGACCACTATGGATTCAAGACCTTTCAGAAATGAAGATTTAAATCGTTCCCTATCAGATAAAGAACCTCAACCAACTCAAGTCCTGACTGAGCATAAAGAAAACATAAAACAGGTAGAGGAGGAAAAGAGTTACAAGTATCAACTACAAACTTGTGACCAATTAGAAGGATTATAGAAACTATGTGTATTTTCTTCCTTATTTTTCTTCTCCTTTCTCCTTCCCTTGTTTAGTGCCATATGCTATACACAGACTAAACTTCAAGTGAAATCAATTTCATTTAATAGTCTATCAGTTCTGTGAAACAGACAGTTATCTTGGTTTTGTAAGATAAGTAAATTAAATTTGAAAGAGGTTAAACAAACTGAAGCCAGGATCTCAAAGAGACAGGTGTACTCCCATGTTTATTACAACATTATTCACAATATCTAAAACATGGAAGCAAAGTAAGTATCCAACAATGAATGATGGATAAAGAAAATATGGTATTTACATACAACGGGATATTACCCAACTTTAAAAAAGAAGGTAAATTGTATTGTTTCCAACAACATGGATGATTATGCTAACATAAGTAAGCCAGATGCAGAACAAATCCTAGAGGATGCCACTTATATGAGAAACTAAAATAGTCAAACTCATAGAAGCAGAGAAAAGAATGGTGGTTACTGATGTGGAGTAAAAAAGCAAAAAAAAAAAAAACAAAAACAAAAACAAAACAAAACAAAAAAAAAAAACAAATTAAATCTCCTTACAATTTACAGCCCATCAACAAGTATTTGATACAGGCAGAGTGACTGTTCTCCAGGAACTCAACTGCTTCACCATTAATACTTTGCTAAAGGCAAAAGACAACTTCAGCTTGACATTAGCTAGACCTCCAGGATCCTATAAAAATCCCTTTGGAAACTTCCTTTATCTCTACCCTGACCCAAGATATATGTTAGCAATCATCCTCCAAGCATATGGTCCACAGATATTCACCTGAAGCATCTCATGACTAAGGCTTTACTAGACAGTAGTAAATGGAGTTTTCCTAACAACTGCTAGTCCCTCAGGGTCCTGGAAACCTTGCTTGCAAGTTCCTTAGAGACTCAGGCTAACCCAACCTCCTCCCAACTTGAAAGTATAAAATTAACCATTCTTCACAACCCCAGTACAGCTCTTTCTGCCCACAGGTCCTGTCCCTGTGCTTTAATAAAACTACCCTTTTTGCACCAAAGATGTCTCAATAATTCTTTCTTGTTTGCTCCTGAACCCCAATATTTCATATCTGTTACCAGAGGTTCAGGAGTGGGGAGAATTGAGAAGGTAATGGTCAAAGGGTACAAAGCTTCAGTTATGTAAAATGAGTAAGTCTTAGAGTTCTACTGTGTACCACAGGGTCTATAGTTAACAATACTGCAATGTATACTTCAAAATTTGCTAAAAAGATGTATATTAAGTGTTCTTATCACCAAAAAAAGAGGAAAATGAGAAAAAAAAGAAGAGGAAACTTTCCAAGTTTATGGCATTGATTATGCTGTTTCACTGGTCATATACTTACCTCCAAACTCATCAAGTTATTTACATTAAACTTGGTTTTTTGTATGTCAATCATATTTCAAAGTGGTTTTTTAATGACTAAAGAAAATTAAATAGCTTGCTTATAGTCACACAGCTCACAAAGAAAAACTAAAATATGAACCCAACTCTGACTCCAAAACTCATAATGAGACAATGACATTAAGGAACTGGAAATAAAGAATGGTGTGGGAAGGCAGATGATTTATGTTTTACTTTATTTAAAATCAAATAATTGACATACAGCATATTATTAGTTTCAGGGGTAGAGTTTAGTGATTCATCAGTTGCATACAACACCCAGTGCTCTTTACATCACGTGCCTCCTTAATAATGCCCAACACCCAATTACCCCATTTCCCCCTACCCACCTCCCCTCCAGCAACCGTCACAATTTGTTTCCTATAGTTAAGAGTCTCTTATGGTTTGTCTCCCTCGCTGATATCGGTGGTTCAGCTGATTTAAAGATGCCTATTTGGGAAGCTCTGGGCTTTCAGAGTAAGCTCCTCTGTACCAGGTGCTATATACTGTCCCAGCTGCATGCCCTCCCTGCTGTTATCAGCCCTGTGATGCTCTGCAAACCACTTTGTCAGGCTTTGCCACTAGGGGGTGACAGAGGAAAGCTGCAAAGCTGAAGAGGAAGAAGGCACGTGCTCCTTCCTTTTTGCTTCCTTCTGCTTAATTGGGACTTCCTGAATGCTGACAATTCCCAGGAGTCTCTCCCAGTAATACCTGTTCACTCCAGCAGCCCCAGATCCTTCCCCGAAAAGCACCTAAATCCAGTCTGCGATATT